CCAATAGAAATGAAGTTATAGGAAAAACGACTTTCTTAGAGTAAATCAAGGTGCAGAGTTCAAACTTGAGCTGTATTCGGTCCCATATCCTATTGGTTTGGCAACGCGCAATATAAATCAACATTTTAAATGGTAGATTTCACAGTATAATTTTGATATTCAGATAGTCTAGGATGATTGATTTGTATGATTCACTTTTTGAAGTACACATAACTCTCGGATTTAAATCCGAAGTTTCCGCATTTATTTTTATCATACAGTCACTTATTTTCTCTTGTTCAAGGATGATGACAACATTGAAAAGACAAAAAGAAAATACTCTCTTTCAGAAAGAAGGGACTTCATTATTTCACAGAAATCACTAAGTGAGAACGTTTAGATGTCAATCCAGAGAACAGGATAGGTAGTTATTGTTGTCAAGAAAAGTGCTAACGAGCCTGTTAACGGTGATACCTATTCACCATACTCCTCGATGCTTTCATTTTCTCTTTGTTTTCTTTGTTGTTGTACAACTATCTCTTTTCTCTTCTTTCTCTGTGATGTTATGCTCTTCAAGGACATTTTTATGTATATCGGATGTTTTTCTTTTGAATAAATATACATATCGATCGCTCGACGAAACGAGCTAACAATTTGGTGCCGTGACCATCTTCTTCTATTTACTACATCGAAGAAGAACCAATTCAGATTATTATTTACTCATCCGTAACGGAAAGAGTGAAGTACAATCTTATCCTCTCAGGAGAAGAGAGATCAAAAATTGCATATATATATATTACTTACGAGTTTTAATTATCATAAGAAGGTATCTTTCTTATATATATAGTTCAAATTTTTTGTCCTTCCTTTAAGGGCATATATTTTAACAACGGCTACCGGCACAAGAAGCGCGATTAAGCAAAGTGGAGCAAATCTTCTATCATATGAATTAATTACAAATTCACCAACAAAAATACGAAATAGAAAACAAAACGATATGTCATTTATGCAAGAAATGGAAACAACCTCGATGGAAACTCGACAACTTCATTCAAGTCAAAAAGAAGCACTGAAGAAAAGAATTGAATTTTCAGGAGACGTAAATGAACTGGATATTGATGAATGGTTATTCCATGTGAACAATTTATTTTCACTAATGAGATTAAAAGATGAAACAAAAATTCTCGAAACAATGGGCAAATTAACAGGACCAGCATTACGATGGTATCAAGAAAATTTAAGATCATTCATTAATTGGAATGATGCTGAAAAAGCATTACGAGATCGATTCAAAGAATTTGGTTCTGATAGTCAATTAATGCAAGAATTTTTTCATATTTATCAAGAAGAAAATCAATCGGTTACATCATTTTATGAAAATGTCATTCGTAAATATTGAAAGCCCAACAATTCATTACCGAACAACAAGTTATTATAGTATTACAAAATGGTGTTAAAAATTCATTTAAAGAACATTTAATTTGAAATGAAAAAGATATTAAGAAACCAGAAGAATGGCTGCAAGTTGCTCGAGAAGAAGAATATATACAGAAGCAAATTCAACAACAAAGTAATAGTTTATATCCTGAAACAAAAAATAAAATATTTTTCGAATCTATATTACCAACTGCAACAATACAACCAACTAAAGTCCTGCGGGACAGTCCCGAATCCCGAAAAATCCCGTTCGTCCCGTCCCGTGGGACAAACGGGATTGGGACAAATCAAAAAATTTCGGGACGGGACAAATGGGATTCGGGACAATTCGACAAATAATGTGGTCCCGAAACTTTGGAGCTTGTATAACGAAATCCGTTGTATACTTGAAATTTCATATTGTTCACAAACATTTTAGTACTCAAATAAAAGTGTCAACGAAAAACACAAAAAAAACAAGCCACAAGATGTTTTAATGTTTGTCTATTATCATTCTCTTTATCAGCTATTTTACCTCTAATGCCATTTAAGCACATCGTCTTATTTTGTTAACGCACTTCACCGATCAATTAGTGTATGGATGAGAGTGAGAGTTTATTACAATTGCAGTTGTATTTTTTATTAATCTATTTTTCTAAACTTTGCTACAGGCAGATAAATACTTTTTAATATTCGAAGTTCGGATATTTCGCTCGATCTATAGCAAACTTTAAATTTTATCCGTATCTGAACTTTTTTTCTGATCGACATTGTATAGTCAATAATACTTATCAGAAATTCATAAATCATCTCATAATCATAGATATGAATAAATTGTTTCTATTGAGTGTATATAGAAGACGCGTACTGCTATTGAACAAAACCATATCTTGATTTTTTCCCTTGTACGGGACAAACGGGATTTTTCGGAATAATTCGAAAAAATTCGGGACGGGACAAACGGGATTCGGGACTATTTAAAAAAATTCGGGACAGGACAAACGGGATTCGGGACACAGACAAGTTTGTCTCGCAGGTCTGTACAACCAACATCATCGAATACTCAATCGTCGAGTCAACAGCCCTTTGCATCACGTCATTACTATCAACAACAACATCAACAACTAACACCATCAACAATCAATCGAACATATTCAAAACAAAACAATTTTTCAAATCTCAAACAAAATCGAAAAAATTATCCAGAAAATAAAATACAAAAATCAAATCCATGTTTAATTTGTAATAAAAATAATCATGCAACAACAAAATGCTTTTATAAGAAGAGCAATGGCTGTTTTAAATGTGGACTATCAAATCATCAAGTACGTAATTGTCCTCAACAACATTTTTTCGAATAAAGGAATCGGATGATGGCGACGATCCCTGTGGAGCCAAAAAGTCATCAACCAACAACACATTCAATCCTCTTTTTGTCAAAATTTTATGCAACAATACTCCACAAACAGCACTTATCGATGCCGGATCGGCCATCACTATTATACATCAACACTTATTAAATGACATACCACATCAAGAATTAATACCAAAAACAATAAATCATTTATCTGCAAATTGCTCAACATTAAATATTATTGGTGAGATATCCTTAGAAATAAATGTTAATGGAATAAAAACAACAATTATTGCTGATGTTACAACAAATCTTGTTACAAATTTAATATTAGGTAGTGATTGGATCCAAGCAAACAATGTTTATTTTCTTACACCTGAACAACGAATTATGATCCGAAGTCGAGGTAAAGAAGTATCAACTCCTTCTGTAAAACCATATTTTTTAAATTAACCAGCTACTCTTATTAATCATATTACTCTTCCGTCTTTTTCAGAAAAAATAGTAGAAGCAAACGTTCAACCCAACTATATGACTAATGCATTATTTGAACCAAATCCTCGATTAAAAAATAAAGTGTTATTTACTGCAAATGCATTACTCAATATTGAAAATAGAACAATAAAAATAAGCATAATTAATGCAACCAATCGGCAACAAATACTTTCCGAAGGAACCAAATTAGGTATAGTGACACAATTATCTTCTACAATTGGTGTTACCATACCATCAAATTATTTAAAAGAACGCATTCCGGAAGGAAAAGTGTGTAAGGTGCTCATTCCTGAGGGAAAAGGAGCGAACAAATCAAAAAAATTAAATTTTAACAACATGCCGACTACGACATCACAGGGGAAACAATATCAATGTCGTGAATGCTATCGAAATTTTAATACTGGCAATGAATTATTTAAATACCTTAGAAACAAATGTTATTCTGAAGAAATAAGACAACAAATAAATAAATTAACTGAACATATAAGTGATGATAAACAACGACAGCAAATTTTTAAAATTTTATGGAAATACGGAAAATTATTTGACATTAGTGAATCATCAAAAATTGATATAATTTTAAAAAAGGCTATTAATACTGGTACACATTGTCCTATTCATACACCACCATATAGAAAATCAAACAAAGATCAAGAAACCTTAAGAAAAGAAACAGATAAATTATTAAAAAATGGAATTATTGAACATTCAACATCACCATGGTCTTCACCTGTCGTTTTAGTAAAAAAGAAAGATGGAACAACAAGATTTTGTGTCGATTATCGTCGGTTGAATCAAATTACAACAAACGATGCTTTTCCTTTACCAAGAATTGATGATATTTATGACCAATTAACAAAAGCAACATATTTTACAAACTTTTATTTTAAAGCTGGATATTTTCAAGTACCATTAGACAAATTAGATCGACCAAAAACAGCATTTTCAACTCGAGATGGACATTTTCAATTTAAAGTATTACCGCAAGGCCTTACTAATGGACCACCAACATTTCAACGAATTGTTAATCAAATATTAGGTCCAAATAGGTGGAAACATATACTCGCCTATATCGATGATATTATTATTTACTCACAAAATTTTAATGAACATCTAAAACATATTGAAGAAGTATGTTCATTATTACATAAAGCAAATTTTAAATTAAATGTTGATAAATGCGAAGTTGCAAGATCAGAAATCTTATTTCTCGGCCATTTAATTAAAGCTGGTACTATTAAACCTGATCCAGACAACATCCGTGGATTAACTGATACACGCGAACCAACATCATCCGAAGAAGCATTCAGATTCGTCAAAGCAGCAGAATATTACCGAAAATTTATTTCAAAATTCTCCACCATCGCTGCACCACTACACAAATATTCTCCAGCAACATTACAACAACAAAAACTTAATAAAAAATCAAAATTTGAATTATTTGTTGAAGCTAGAACGGCATTACACCAACTAAAGAAAATATTAACAACCGACCTCGTTCTCGATTTACCTGATGATGCATTACAGTTTAAATTACAAACTGATGCTTCTGTAGATGGAATTGGTGCTTTTCTATTGAAAATTACTCCCAATGGTGATTGACCACTAGCATATATGTCCAAGAAATTAACAAAAGCACAAACTAAGTGGCCAACAATTGAACAAGAATGTTATGCAATAGTTCAAGCAATAGAAAAATTGGGACAAATATCTTCGTGGACATGAATTTATATTAGAAATTGACCATGAACCATTAATTAATTTTGCAAACAAAGAGCAATTAAATAAAAGATGTGAACGATGGCGATTAAAATTAGTCGAATATCGTTTTAAGGTGAAACATATTCAAGGCAAGAACAACCATATGGCAGATTATCTTTCAAGATCACCAGTCGAAGTAGCTGAAGAAGATATTGAAGAACGAACTCAATATGAATCAACATCAACACAAACAGATTTATTATTTTCATCATTAAATAATAATTTAATTCCATTAAAAATAACAACAGCAATTACTAGAGCTCAAGCCAAATTACAACAACAAGCAATGGCAACACCATCTACTAAAGCGACGGATAGAAAAATTAATGAGCTCATCTCACAAGGGAAAGCAGTGACTGATGAAGAATTGATAATCAAATCATCAGATGAAAATCCAAACCAGATCATCCCATTTGATATGGATGATTTAAGAAAATGTCAAGAAGATGACAACACAATACAAGAAATAAAAAACAATATTACGAATAAAAAACATTTTTCATTGAAAATGGAATATTATTTAGAAAACAACAACTACCACTTCCGCCAGTAGCATACGTCCCAGTAGGACGAATACGTGCTGATATATTAAAAATTTATCATGATACACCTGGTAATGGAGCTCATTCTGGACGTGACAAAACAACAAGAAAAATTCAGGAACGTTATTACTGGCCAACAATGATAGCTGATATTAAAAATCATTTAAATTCATGTCTACCATGTGCACAAAATAATTATCGTCGTCAAAAATTACCAGGAAAATTAAAACCAATACCACCACCGGAAGGAATATGGAAATTATTAAGTATGGATTTTCATGGTCCAATAACTCCAACATCAAAACAAGGAAACAGATACATTATATCTCTTACAGATGTATTATCAAAATTTGTTATTACAAGAGCTGTTCGAGATTGCTCAGCAACAACAGCAGTGAAATTTCTTATAAACGATGTTATATTAAAATATGGCACTCCAACATGTATATTAACCGATAATGGTACTCATTTTACTTCTCAAGTTATGAACAAATTATTTGAAAATATTGGAGTCACTCAACTTTATTCCACAGCATATCATCCACAAACCAATGGACAAATTGAACGATTTAATGGTACGATAGATGGAAAAATTGCCGCCTTATGTAATGAACGACGTACGGACTGGGATGAAGTATTACAATTTGTTGCATTTAATTATAATACATCAATACATGCAACAACAAAACGAACACCATTCGAAATGAGGCATGAAAGACGAGTTACACTTCCATTTGATCAACAAAAAGAAATTATTTCGCTCACACAAGATCCAGAGCATAGTGAAAAAATTAGAATATATCTTGAAAAATTAGTAAATGAAGCTCGAAACAACATTATAAAAAATCAACAACAATATAAAGCTCGATATGATTTACATAGACAAGATTTATTATTAAAAGTCAATGATTTAGTTTTAGTAAAAACAAAATATATTAGAAATAAATTTGATATACGATATGAAGGTCCATTTAAAATTATTAAACAATTAGGAATTAAAACATTTATTGTCCAGCATGTTAAAAAATTAACATTGAAAAAACAAGTGACAATGGATGTAATCGTTCCGTTGGTGGAACGATGGAATTTAATTCAATAAAACACATCCCAAAAGGGAAAGATGTGGTACACGATAGTATAATTAGTAAAGTATGAAAAAAAAGGAAAATTTAATTATTATTATTCATTTAATTAAATTAAACTGATTGAGCTGGATTCAGCAGTCCATGCCGGGGAGACAGAATTTCACCTTCTCACTGACAGAGAGGGGTTGTCTAACTCAAACATTTACTTTAATTGATTTTCTTTTATATATTTTATTCATCGGATAAATATATGATACGCGATGACTCATCATCCAATCATAGTGCACTATAACCGAGGCACTTGTACAATACCGGCCGGACTATACGGTGCAACGAAGAACGCAAGTGTTACACATCGATAACTTCACTATAATCAAAGCGTGGACATGATATATACATATTGACCACATCATAGGAAAGGAAAATTTTATATATGAACAACAATAGAACCGTCTATTATATACAAAGAAAAAGAAAATTTTATACATGGATAATAATCGAGCATCCTTATATATAAAGGAAAGAAAAATTGACCTCAAAGAAAATGACCTTAGCAAACAAATTATTTTATTATGATATGTAAACATAACTTACATAATTTTCGTTTTAGTGATACATTATCATGTCTTCAACACGATCTTTATCTGATCCACCACAATATTATTATAAACTAAGTACCAAACAACAACGAAATTGGCGAAAGCATACCAGAAAAATTGAAAAAAAATGAAGCATTAAAATTAAAATACCCATCATTTCAACCTTCATCTGATATCAACATCATCCACTTCCATTATAAATCGAATCTGGACATATTAAATGAATTAATTGAACAAGCAAAACAAATTATTTACCTGATCGGCATACAATTTTAAATGAAAAAATAAAAGAATTATGGTCAACAATATTCAGCAATTATAATGAAATTATTACATGGGGTCCAATAGAAGATGAATTTAAAGAATTTCTACATCTGGAATTTAACCATATAGGTAAGAATATTGAAGATACTGGTTTACAATCTTTGTTTAGACCATGGTATGTCGAACAACACAAACGGCATCCAGAAATGGAAAGGCGTGATGATGATGATACAGATGATGCTGAAGAAATGGATGGAAGTGATGAAGAATTATATTCAACAACTTATGATGATGCAACAGTATGGTCATTACAAAAAGCAATCGTAGTAATATTTAACAAATTTCTCGACAAATCATTAACAGCAAACTGGTGGCAATGTGGTCTTGATTTAAAATTAAACACATGGAAGAACCAATTATTCAGTCGGCATAAGTATAATGAACAAAAAGAAAAACAAGAACGATTAAAAATGGTACAATATGCAATAAATGATTGTACTTCAGTCGCTGAATTATATTTCCATATGTATCCAGGCAAATCAGATGATCAACAAACACCTCAAGTACTACCAGCAACAGCACGAACAATTACATTAACAACACCAACAATCATACAAACAACACCAGCAATAACATCAACAAATTTTACAAATATATTAGAAGATGAATTATCCGACATTATTGAAGATGAATTAATTGAATTATCAAGACCAAAGTTTAATAAAAAAAAGAAGATGCTCCACATCAATCAAATTATGAACAAGATGAATTAATAATAACAACAACAGCACAAGAAATGAATGAATTCGACTCAAATGAACAACAACTGCAACAACAATAATCAAACATACAAACAACCACCACAACATTATCAAAATCTGAACGACAACGTCGAAAAAATATGAAATTAAAATGGAAACAACGAAACCCACCCGACTTCCAACATAAAATTAAAAGACCGATATATCATAAATATGATTACCGGAAAATAAGAGCACAACTGGTAGAAGATCAAATATTTACAAGTCATCAAGTAACCATCAACCGGAAAAAGGTGAAGTCTTAATTGGTTTCAAATCACCGCGTGAAGAAGAAGAAGCAAGAAGAAAAATGAAGATCAATTATTTCTCAAAAGAACAGTACAGAAAACGATGGGGGTAAGAAAAATAAAAATAAAAATAAAAAATAAAATAAGAATGTAAAAGAAAACCATAACAAGATATAAAATGAAAAAGAAAAAATAAAGAAAAAAAAAGAAAAAGAATAAATAAATAAGGAAAAGAAAATAAATGTAAAAAAACCAAAAACAATCATCAAATCAATAAACAACTTCATCAACAATAAACAACAACGACAACTACAGATAAACCTCAACAAACAAAACAACCAATACGACGGAACGGAAAGGTGACGCAATTACAAATCACTTTTTCTTAGTCCATTTAGATTGACCAGAATCTCTAACAAATCGACACAACATCACAAACAACAACAACACCACCATCGTTTAGGAAAAGGAATTATCAACCTGAACAACCCAAATTATACATATACAACATTATTAATCATTTAATATTATACATGGTGAAAAATCTCTATGATGATCAATCTCAATAATCCAACACATCACAATATTGAATAATTAGTTATTCTCAAAAATATGTCAAATTATAAAATAGTTCAAACTCAATATTTAATTGATAAAATAAAGAACAAGTTAAAAATTCGATTAATGCTTCAGATTTAAATTTACAAGTGGTGGAAATGAATTAAATAATTTAGCTATTCATGGAATTCTTAAATTCGATTTACATAAACTTCAACATATCATAACAAGTCTATTTAAATATCCACCTGGTATAAATAGTGTTACATGTTCACAAAATTAAAATGTTTTATAGTACTAGTATCAACATTAACTGTTATAATCAAAACCAGATTTATTGGAAATAATCATTAATGGATATCGAACATAATTTTTTTCTCCACATTACATACATATTTGCTCTAGCATGTAAATTTATTTTGTAGTTACAAACTACAGTCATTCAAGATTTAATTGATCAATATACAATTAAATGTGATTCTATATGTTCATACGAATGAATTATTACAAAGAAATATCGCGATCATACTTCGTCCAACATGCTTATTTACATTAGAACCGTGAAAATAAAATAATTATAAATTTAATGGAAAAATGATGAACGATCGATTTGTTAATTATATTGTACAAAAATGATTGATCTAGTTGAACCTGCTCAACGAAAAGTCTTATTACAAAAGTTCGTCCACATATACAATCATTTCATAAATTTACATATGCAAATACAAATGGTTTATCACATTATGACAAGTAACAGTATATTTTGTTTGATTTTTTTAAAATATACCCAACAAAAGAATTAAAACCAAGCAAACGATTTCATGATAGACCTTGTTGAGATTTAACAAATAAATTTAACTCGTATAATGATAAAAAGTTTACTGTTCCAAATGAAACTGATCAATGTTTATCAAATACATCATGTTTAATTTTTCAGGGAATAAATGTTAAACAATTAGTTAATCAATCAAGTGATCGATTAGTTTTTTCAACAGAAAATGCATGTTATGACGATACATAATATTGAATAATATCAACTACACTTCAAGTTATCGATTTACATATAGATTAACGCACAACTACACGATTAAGTACAAGTGTATGATAACAGACGACGAAATTAACCAGGTTATTCGTTTTATTCTGAATGCTGGTGCACAACAACTTTATTCTTCAATATATAAATAGTAATGTGTGGGGACACACATCTCTTATAAGGGGGAAGGACTGTTAACGGTGATACCTATTCACCATGCCCCTCGATGCTTTCATTTTCTCTTTCTTTTCTTTGTTGTTGTGCAACTATCTCTTTTCTCTTCTTTCTCTGTGATGTTATACTCTTCAAGGACATTTATATATATATATGTGATGTTTTTCTTTTGAATAAATATACATATCGATCGCTCGACGAAACGAGCTAACAGAGCCCAAAACAATTTTAACAGAGCGTATTTCTGGCTACTGTTGCACAGTGGGAAGCTTTCGCATAAGCTACTTAAAACGTGACTTTCTTCTGCGAAAACGGTTTTATTTTCCACGGAAACGATAGCATATCGTTTGGTAAACCATATTTAAGAAGGAAAAGCATTTTCTGAAGATTTGTTTTTGACGAAATATACCTGAAGAAGCCCTGATCATACTTTTCTAGGAAATGTTTTTCGTTTGAGAAATATTTTAAGCTTCATATCGTTCGATGCCATTTGATACAATGATTCCGAATATCGTCTTAACTTTTCTCCAAAGTGCAATTTAGATGCCGAAAATCGTATTTTTTGAGCAAAAACCTGGATTTTTTGGGGAACTTCTTAAACAGTCTAAGATCTATTTCACGAATTGGCACTACTACCATCATTAACGTACATATGTAGGAGTGTCTGGTAAAAAATTCAGCTCGAATAGGCGCTATACCTCGTAGCGTTTGGAATGTCCGAAGCATCAGGTTTTAGGTCGAGATCTGTGTTGAAGATGAGTCAAAAGTGACTTTAAAAATGATTTTATGTATATGGTTCAACACAGCTCGACTAGCTGATTCCGAATATCAGCTTAGTTTTCCTTCGAAGTATCATATAGGTTTCGAACACCGAATTTTCGGCCAGAGACCTCGGGCTTTGGAGACTCTCTAGAATAGCCTAGGAAAGGTTTCAGGAGTTGGCGCTACTAACATTATTACGACACATATGCACTTATGCATGGTGGAAATTTAAGCTCCATCAGGCATTACCTCTTTATAGCGCTTATAATATACGGAGCGGTAGGTTTTCAGGTAGGATTTCGGCCTAGACACTCTTTGCTTTCTACTCCATTTTAAATTGGATTGCGATCATTTTTTTTAAAATAAAGCCCATACGTAAACAAGGTTTTTGTGGCGTTGTTTGCTTGTGGAATACGGTGTTATATAGCCGAGCGGCTTAACTTTCTACATTGTTTGCCGGTTTCTAGGGCTCTATAAAACTTTGATCATTATTGATTTACATAAATGGAGTGATGATACAGCTATGAATGTTATGAAAAAGCAATATGTTGTAGAAACGAAAGGCAGTATGCATAAATGGAAATGAGTTTAGCACGGACAATGCGCATGCATGAGTGTAGATATTGATATTGTTGGTGCTTCACGTCATTACAAAAACCGCAATGGTATAGCATCAAATGCTGTAAAAGATTTTTTTTTCAAGTTGATCAACATAGTTTATATAGAGAAGATCAGATTGATCAATTAATCAAGTAAATTGAAAATCCATTCATTATCAACAGTATGTTTCATTCTACCAAGATCTAAGCAAGGAAATATCCGCATTTTCTAATTTCATTTTTTCTACGATAAAATAAAACTTAGTATTTTTATGAACTTTTCATACAAAATCAATAAATCTTTGTTCGATTGTACAAATCAAAGTTTTAGAGCTTACGTAGGTGCATTCTTATAATTGCACATTGTTTAAGGTAAAATAACAACTAGAATAATCCCCATAGTAGCTAAGTTGTGCATTGATGCAACTGAATATTCAAGCCATTACGAGCATTTAGGTTGTGTACTTGTGAGAGTGTGGGTAGGTGTCAAACCAAGGTTACATGCACACCTCACACTCACGCCCTCAATTTGCGAGTCGATGGCCACAATTTTCAGCTCCTAATCAAACGACCCATCTCATCAGCTGATCTTTTATCAATAGGCTACAGCCTTGCAGTTAAGGGTCGCTAACCGTCAAAGTCATGTTGCCAATCAAATCAATGTCAGTCGGAATCAGAAGAGCAATCAAAAGATTGACCAACAACATTATAGCTGAGCAAATGTACAGAAGCAGTGCCTTTTCCGTTTTCATATCAAACATTCAATATATAGTTAGAATGTTAAACTATCTGAATGCGTCTCCTCATTTTATATTATTTTTATTGCCCCAATGATTTGCATGAATAAATACTTACGATTCAAATGCTCTGCATGCATAATTTCACTATTTGATAGAAACATTATTCAGATTATTTACTGTCAATAAAAACGGCATAAAAGATTTTATCCAAGTTTTGTCCGAGAACCCAATCAAATAACCGAATGGAAGTCATTTAAGAAAAAAAACTTGCAGCCCGACAAGGACTTGCATGAGTGTTGCCTGGATGGATGACGATGGTAGGGAAGCAAAAACCTCTGACTAAATTAATAAACGCACGCGTCCACACTCACACACTTGCACCTCGAATTTAGGAAGAATTTTTTCTCATACTATAACAGTATGAACATAAGTTTAATCGTATTGGTGTCAGTATGAGTGAAGATGAACATGGACGAAGAGAAGACGCACATTCATATCTACCAAATGAATTTGATAACCATACTGGACATTTCAACAAAACTAGTAGCTAGTAGAATGTTCTTGTTTTAAAAGAGAGACAGAGCTGCACTTGGATAAATAGACGGAGTTCTTCGTTATAAGCAACCTTGCTCTTCGTATTTTGTTTTTTTAAAGAGCGAGAAGGACAAACCCACATTATATTGACAATTCTTCTTAGTATGACATATACTTTATACCAGTAATCATACGACAGAACAGAGTTTTTTTTCTCCCTGTAAAAGAGCAATGTTAGGCAATTACTTTTTCTACTCTTGGGTGCAAAAGAACCGATGTTTCTAGAAGAGTTTTTTCGAGTTTTCTAAAATAATTTAAAAATATATCGACAAAATATGATTAACTGAAATTAATCTATGATACTGCTAGAAATATTTGTGTATTACGAAAAAAGGATTATGTTACAACTATTAAATGATTAGTGAGACAATCAAGAAGATTTGATCCATATACTTTGCGATGGATAAAAAAAAGTTAATCCCGACTGCTTCATATCAATTTACAACAGTATTCGTATACAGTGATAATACATATGTATTTATCAGATAGTTATAAAATATCAATACAAATCATGTGTACCGTTTTCGTCATTAACGATGCAGAGGAAAAGAAAAGAGAAGGGCTTCTCGTATCGATGTTGGTTTCTTACTCAAATATAAATAAGAGAAAGAAAACATTAGGGAAGACTTAATAAAACTCGGCATACATTCTGCTTATTCATACTGGCAGAATTTATACGTCTTACGAACAGAATATATCAATATTCCACTTACTTGCACAACTGGAGTAAGATAGGAGTGAAAGCTCGATTTCATCAACTCATAAATCAATCAAAAAGGTACTAACAAATAGTCTCCCAAGAACACGTAAGTAGTGGGACTACTTTTCACTTGTGGATCATCTTTTGTAAGCAAGGCTCATCATTCAATTTCCTGATATATCTATCCAAGAATATTTAGACTACGGTAACGATTATTTTTCAGTCTGAGAGAATTGATATGTCTTAATGGGGGAAATGAGCGAAATGTTACTCTATTTCCAAGCCAATACGTGCGTTCAATGCATACAAATCATATGGCAGAATTCGTACGGTGGCCTACGTACGAGTTCTTAAACATAATACGTAAATCACCTGTGTGCTAGATACCCTCTGATGCTCATCCGTCACTAGTCATTGCAACGCCGCTTAACAATCGTTTTTGTAACGGTTGACATCCTTTCAAAAGCACTTTTATTGAAAACGATAAGCTTAAAAAAACTCAGTAGGTTGATTATGATATAGTTTGTACTTAGTCCGACTATGAATGAAAGAAAGACCAATAGCGGTGTCTATATCCGAGCATAAATTAATCCACACACGGGTATACCCAAGTCAAATAAGCACGATCATTAACAAGTGTGCTTCACCGTTAGGTTATTTGTTGTATCACGATCATTAATCAATATGCCAGACTCGGCCGAACACTCACTAATAGGGTCGTTTAAGATCGTATATCATTGCTTGTGATACAATGATATAAATTCGTAGTACAGCTGATAGACGAACGACGATACACGATCATCTATGGCAATAAGCGAAAGGATAAAAGCGCCCACACTACCATAGTTTAATGTGAAAGAGACTGTTCATAATGCGTGTACGTCTGATTTTAAGAGTTGATTTCTGGTGGTGACGACAAACTCCACGTACTAATTGAGTTGTAAGAAATCAAAGAAGCAAGAAATGGTAGTTGCTGTTGCAATTGAGCGAGCTACAATGAATAGAAAGGGGACATTAAGTTTTGTTGTGTCTCGGAAAAATGCTCGCATATTCATGAATGACACATTTCTGCCAAACATAGTGGAAATCGAGGCTTCCTTTGTATATAAAGTGCACGTTTGTATAAACGATATCTTCCACCGAATGCATTTCCCACTACTTAACATGAAACTCGATATTTTACATTACTCATCTTATCCATAGTCGCCCATTTAATTGACCAATTAAATCATGGCCAATCGTTTCGCTGTAGTATAATGAAGATTTTGTACCGATTTTTAGGAAATACTCTAAAACAATCGGTATCGAACAAAATAGAAAAACCTAGAAAGAATGGCAAATCAACGAGATACTAAAGGACGAGAAAAATTAGAAAATGACAACACCGCTGATTCAAAACAACGAAGCAAGACGGCGAACCAACAGGAAACACTCAATAGCGACATACATGCATGGCGAAAAAGTGATTCGATTGCAAATCAACGTAGTCCTGGGATGTTCAGACACATGAGTCAAGGTGAGACCATTAGAATATTGTTATGTGAACAGATAGAACCATTTTCATTCTAATCTAATAATATCTATTGTTTGATTCGAAAAATATAGTCTACATATTTAAATGTGCATATGCCATTTATTAGTGAGGTGAAAATGATTGATGATAACCCATTTACTTCAGTCAACTATGCGGACTTTTATAGATAGACTGAAGAACTTTCTGATTCTGTTTTGACCAAGTCAATATGACCTCTCCGTCTTGCTTTCTAATTTTAGCATGCCGCGATCGACTCGTACGAATACCAACGGTTATTGTAAGTTCAAGCTTCTATTTCATCTACTTTATTTTTGAAAAATATTATTTTCTAGATGATGGTGGGCTTACCAGCACGTGGCAAAGCAAGATTAATTTTATATTTTTTAAAAATAGGAACTAAAAATTCTCCTATATTTTAGACGTACATGGGTCGGAAATTAGCTCGATATTTACACTGGATTGGAATTAAAACAAAAGGTACGTTGTAAACTTGTTCTCAAACACCGATAATAGCAATGAATTCAGAAAAGAAAAATACGAATGACTTTCTATTGATTTTATTGATAAAACACATTTTAGATAGGAACTGAATGGATTCATAAATATTTTTTTGTTTCTTTTTATATGAAATGGATTTCTTTTTAAACATTCTTTTGAAAGTGCATGCTCTCTTATGCATATCAAACGACTTCAGATTCTTCGGCATCGAATTAGAATATAAGTAATTCGTCAAAGAAGAACACAATGAATGACATATTAGCCATCATATTTAACTATTTTTACTATAAGCAAATCTCTCTAGAAGAAAATATCTATATACAATAAAGATTTCGCTTTTATGTTTATAGTATTCAATGTTGGCGATTATCGTCGTGATGCTGTTAAAGTATATTCAGGCAAGGACTTTTTTGATCCAGGCAATACTGAAGCAGTAGCAATTCGAAAGTATGTTTTGGTTTATGTTCGATAGAAGTTCGTTTTGATGAATATCAATTCGATTTATTTCCATAGTCAATGTGCCCAAAATGCATTGGAAGATATGTGCGATTTCCTTCAAAATCAAGGTGAGGTAGCCATATTTGATGCAACAAATACGACCCGCGAACGACGCCGTACAATATACAATCATTGTACAGAAACATGCTGCTTTCGTGTCTTTTTTGTCGAATCGATTTGCGATTCACTGGAAGTTATTCAAGCAAATATTCGGGTATGAACGTGAAGTAAACTTCTTTCTTATTTATGATAATAGTTTGCATCTAACAGCAAGTAAAACTCAAAAGTCCTGATTACAAAGATGTATCACAAACAGAGGCTGTCGCAGATTTTCTTTCACGTATTCAACTCTATGAAAAACAGTACGAAACTATTGACGATAAGACAGAAGAAAAGCATTATTCATTTATCAAAATTTTTAATTGTGGTGAACGATTTCTTGTTCATAAAATCGGTGGTATGTGTAACATATTGAGAAATTGATATTCCAACTTTATTGTACTCATTCTAGGCAACATTCAAAGTCGGGTCGTTTATTTTCTCATGAATATTCATGTTCTTCCGAGAACTATCTATCTTACTAGGGTCAGTGATTAGTTTTTTTTCCAATTGGCTGAAAAATGACTGATTCCGATATTTTGCAGCACGGTGAATCAGAAATGAATGTTCAACAACGTATTGGAGGCAATTCACCGTTATCACCAGCTGGCAAAACGGTATTGTTTGTTATTATTTTTCCATATTTGCTATTGTTTGCTCATATTTTATTGTAGTATACTGAAGCTCTTGGCGAATACATTGAAAATGGTGAGTCTTTCTAGAGTATTAGTTTTGTTATGACTTTCCTGTAAACAAACTAGAAAACATCAAGGATTTGATTGTTTGGACAAGTCAACGGCAACAAACGATTGAAACAGGAGCAAAAATCAATGCTCCTAAGGAACAATGGAAAGCTCTCAATGGAGTCAATGCTGTAAGATGAATTAATTTACAGTGATGATGAGAAACAAATTTTTCGTATTTATCTAGGGTATTTTCGAAGGATTGACCTATCGAGAAGTAGCTGAACGTTATCCCAAAGAGTTTGCTGCTCGTGATCAATCAAAATATTACTATCGATATCCGGGAGGAGAAGTAAGTTGCCATTGCTTTTTTTTTCCAGTTTCATAGACATGCGCGAGACTTCTATTCTAATCAAGGGATACATTTGACTTTGTAGTTGTAAAATAAATCATCAAAAACTATCCATGCCGATTATCCAAAAGAATTGAAACACGTCTTGTATTTTCGATCCTTCGTTTTTAATCTCAGCTCGAAACCTAGAACAAACTCATATACTGCATGAAACTGATTTCTAAATAGAACTATTCCATCAGACAGCATCGGTTCAAATTAGAGTGCATAACTTTTTCTTATCGTGATCCATCGCTTTAGTTACAGTTTATAGAGAGTCGTCGTCCAAGAAGATTCGAAAGACATCGACTGATTGCCAATTGCTGCAAAATTTATTAAACAGCTACGCTTAAATAAGATTGACTTGAATATTAATTTATTGGGCAAACGTTTGAGCTAGAACAGATATTTCTTTAACTAGATCAATTAATATTTGATTAATTCATCAGTGATTTCATCGTTTATCTTTCTTGCTTTCCACATAGTCTTATCACGACCTTGTTGCTCGACTTGAACCAGTGATTATGGAATTGGAAAGTGCAGAAAATGTACTTGTTATTACACATCAAGCTGTAGCTCGATGTATTCTTGCTTATTTTCTCGATAAAGATCCTGGTACGTAGAAATTGCTTTGCTTGATATAGCATTATTACATGAAACATAATGTATGTTAATGTCCTTTATATATATTTCAATATAGAACGTCTACCCTATATCAAAGTGCCCTTGCATACAATTATTAAATTGACACCGATGGCTTACGGTTGTATGATGGAATGCATACCATTATCGGTTGAAGCTGTAAACACACATCGTAGTAAACCAAAGGTACAAAGAGGAATCTATTACAAAACACTAATATATTTTTGTTTATTTTTCGCTTTTGTTCCTATCTAGAATTGTGAACCTAATCGAGCAGTTGCCGAGGCACTTAATGAATTTAGTGAAGTGCGTTTGGAAACTAAGACGGGTCCAACGACAACCCAGGTCATTTACCAAAATGCTGGTACAGCTTTGGAAACAACTGATGCTCATGGCAATCGTTTACAACATATGGATAGTGCAATTAGTGATGTTACACCGACTGATAGTTTTTCACCGGCTCACGATGGTAATATTCAACAACCACCAACACCTAATTGAACATGTTAATCCGCTGCTTTTCCATTTTTTATTTTATGCATTCAACTATCAAGCTTATATTTTTTGTTCTATTTCTTCAAGCTTTATTATGAGTTTCTATTATATATGTCTTTGATGATACTTCTATTTTATATTTTCGACACTTTCTGTATAATATCGTTCGAGCCCATTTTAAACTTTCTCATCATGCCGAACATATTCGATTTACAAAGCTTATGACAGAAAAATACTCTATATGATGTTATCCAAGAGGGGAAGAAATCATAAGGACACGAAATTAAAGGAGAAAGACGAGAAATGATGTTTATTAAATCCGTCGCTTTTCGATATGTCTCACTGTTCGTTTAAATAAATCACAATGAATAGCTTAATTAAAACTACTACCACTATATTGTAGTTACGGTATAAAGTAGAGAAATATATTTCTATCTTTCGTTTTTCTCGTCAGAAAGAACAACAACTCAAGGAGAAACAAGAAAAAAAAATAGAAGTATGTCATTTAGACTCAAAGAACATCCACACTCTCGACAGGTTTACCTACTTATGAAGTACTTTTGCAAGAAGTTGTTCTCATAAGCAGGAATAAGAAATAAGGATTAACAAAGTATTGCTGGCATTCACTATTGCTCTACATACCGATCTAGTATAGAGCAACATTCTTGACAGTGATTACATTGGGAATCTTTCGAGCCTGTCTCTTATCGACGTTTCTCTATGGAATTAAGATGAGAGTTAGGCAACATTTAAATCGGTAATACAAATGATGATTTCTAGAAGAACACTGACCTTCATATAAAAAATGTTGCCTTCCCTATGATAAAACCAAAGAGAGAGTTAGTCAGAACTAAACTAAATGGGATCTAATCAAAAGAAACATAATATTTTTCAATGCAAAGATACGTTCACAAAATGCTAAAATGATTCAGTGCACCAGAAAGATTTAACCCTTTCACTGACGCCGACGTATATATACGTCATGAACTTTATTAGTGTACAAAACTAGCACAATCAATCGTAATACATATTTTTTTATATTCGTCCGCATAGAGATAAACATCAAATAGCTGAAGCTTGTGATACCATCGTTTCATAATGGCATGCTCTAGAATTATGTTTTAGAAAAAAGAGTGTGCATAGAGAACAGTCAATGTGGTGTACATATGGTTGTCTTTTGTTCTCTTGCTTCTTTTCTTTATAATGCATGAGAAGCACACAAGCCATATCTTTCTCGTTTTTTTATACATTGGGGTTACTTCAGTACATTTTCTTGTATTCTGCTCTTTTCGACATTATTCGAGACCTCATCTCAAAGTACGGCTCTAAGAGGTCACATATTGGAACGGAGACAAAATCGACGGGAAGAAGATCTAGCCAGACATGCAGCTTCAAGAGCAGCTGAGGATCCCATACAGAGACGGACTCGAAGTGAAGATCAGCGTAGACGACAAGCAGCCTCAAGGGCAGCGCAATGGACATTTATGGAAGGGGAAGCGTTTCGGTATGATCCAGCCAACAACTATGACAGTCATCCTCAACTTTATATTGGACAAATGAGCGATGTTTGTCCATACTGTAATGCCCTCAAGTGGCATGCAGAAACACGAGGTATGTGCTGTTCTGGTGATAAAGTAAAGTTACCTGAACTTCAGCCTCCTCCTGAACCACTGAAATCATTAATGTCAGGAACAACGCCTGAATCGAAGCATTTCTTGGATAACATTGGAAAATACAATTCCTGCTTTCAAATGACATCTTTTGGCATGTCAGAGAAAGTGTCTGACTCAGGCTTCATGTCTACTTTCAGAGTTCAGGGTCAAGTATACCATCGCGTAGGATCTCTGCTGCCGCCTTCGAATGAAGAACATAATTTTCTTCGAATTTACTTCATGGGCGACGATCGAAAAGAAGTACAACAACATTGCAAAAACATGCCTGACGTACGTCAGGACATTGTCGAGAAATTGCAGCAAATGGTTCATGAGCACCACATTTATGTTGATCTTTTCAAGACTGCCCTTCAAAGAATGCCTACAGATCAATACAAGGTGCTTATTCGAGCAGACATGAAACCTGCTGGAGAGCATGCACGTCGTTTCAATGAGCCAGTGACAAATGAGGTGGCGGTTGTCATCGCTGGCAACGACTTTGAGAAACGAGATATTGTCTTGGAGAAGAAAAATGGCCAGTTACAGAGAGTATCTGAGACACACAGATCGTATGATGCCTTGCAATATCCTCTCATCTTTTGGAAAGGTGAGGATGGCTACCATTTTCTTATCGAACAGACTGATCCAACAACTGAAATGGCTGTCACTGGCAAAAA